TTTTTCCCATAAGAAGATCGATCGATCAGTTTTCCAGTCACTCTGTTTTTGACAGCGATCACTACAAGCACCATGCTCTCCAACTATCGATATCGTTTATTTACTGCTTTTATTTACCATGAGCCGACCACCACAGAAACGTCGTAGGGTAGAACTTACCCTAGCTGACAAAGTCAAGCTTATCAAGGATTCTGAGTCAACAAATCTAACTCGACAACAAGTTAGCCAGAAGTATGGCATCGGGAAATCTACAGTGACAGACATCATAAAGAAAAAGGCAGACTACATGAAGCAGTTTGAAAATAACATCGATGGATCCAGACAGCACATCAATACTTCATCGAAATTTGAAGAAATAAATGGCTTAGTTTGGACATGGTTTCAGCAGGCTCGTGCAAAGCATATTCCGATATCTGGTCCGATGTTGCAGGAAAAAGCATTGTCATTTGCGTCTGAACTTGGTGTCCAAGATTTCAAAGCTTCTAACGGATGCCTTGAAAGCTGGAGAGGGCGCTATTCGATTAAATCGTTCAAAGTCAACGGATAGAGTGCCGATGTAGATTTGGAAGTGGTGGAAGATTTCAAACAACGCATTGGTCAACTGTGTGAAGGGTACAGGCCAGAAGATATTTTTAATACCGATAAAACTGGTGTTTATTTTAGAGCCTTGTCTGATAGAACACTTGGAACAAAATCAGACGATTGTAAAGGCGTCAAAGATTCAAAGGAGAGACTGACCGCGTTGTTTACATGCAGCATGACTGGCGAGAATATAAAACCGTTCGTCATCGGAAAGGCAGCGAAACCACGCTGTTTTAAAAATATTGATCCAAAAACTTTGCCTGTATACTGTAATTCAAATAAGAAAGCCTGGATGACAAGTGCCCTATTTGAGGAATATCTCCGTGATTTGAACAATCAAATGCGTCGCAAACCCGAAAAATCGTGTCTTTGATTTTTCGTTTTGTTTCAGTAGAGTTTAATGTCATTTAATGTCATGGAACAAATTAGAGTACTACCTCATTCAAACGATAATGAATCCCCCACAATGCCCTATTGGATGAGAAAACAGATGTATTGATCTGTGCTGAAACACTGAGTAGATTATAAAAGAATGTTTAAATTTCAAGTGCTTTGTTTGAATTCATATGTACTGATGTTTTTATTTTTACGATGATGATTTTCGTAAACATGTCCAAATATGGGCAATGATATATTATAATTATGTCTTTGCAGGCATCAGCGTTTCCAACCATCGTTGTTTATGTAATGGACACCCCTAGGTCTGTCAATCCTGTCACATTCATGTCAAATATGTTATATGCATGTAGGTAGGTATTTATTCCCGCCAAATTCTGCTTCAATATTCTCCAATCTTTTCTGTAATTTTTATGTGATGTTTTGGTTACAATTTAGACCAAATAGATATTATTTGCAATTAGTTACTGGTTTTGATAAAAAAAATATGGATCAAAATACGCAGGTTTAGTTTGTGTAAAACATTGATTTTTGGTGTTCACAAGGTCAAGCTTGGGCCACAGTGTGCATGAATGCCTACAAGCAAGGGTGGTAGGCAAAAGTGATTGGGTCAGCCACAGTCTGCTGTGCATCGGCCAATACTGCCTACATACTTATTTTGCTGCATCCTTGTAATAACCTCACATGGTTAGAATGTACATGAAACACTAGCAATTAGCACCTAGGACAAAAAAGACAGCAGTGACTTCAATGACTAGAAATGTCACCAGGCTGTTTTATTTAAAATAAAAAGTTTATGTATTTCAGAAAATAATGAAAACATTTTTATTTGCAGTATTCTTTACAAATATAGACTTCCATTTGTGATCGTTTTAAACAAGGTGAGTCTGTTATTCAAAAGTTGTGTCTTTCAAAAATCGTCTTATTCAAAAGTTGTGTTATTCAAAAATTGTTTTATTCAAAAATCTTGTAATTCAAAAATCGTGTTATTCAAAAATTGTGTTATTCAAAGTCATGTTATTCAAAAGTCGTGTTATTCAAAAGTTGTGTTACTCAATAATTGTGTTATTCAAAAGTTGTCTTATTCAAAAGTTGTCTTATTCAAAAATTATGTTATTCTAAAGTTGTCTTATTCAAAAGTTGTGTTATTCAAAAGTAGTTATTCAAAAACCGTCTTATTCAAAAGTTGTGTTATTCGAAAATTCTCATTCAAAAGTTGTGTTGTTCAAAAGTCATGTTATTCAAAATTCGACTTATTCAAAAATCATCTTATTCAAAAGTTGTGTTATTCAAAAGTCATGTTATTCAAAAATTGTCTTATTCGAAAATCATCTTATTCAAAAGTTGTGTTATTCAAAAAAATCGTGTTATTCAAAAGTTGTGTTATTCAAAAGTTGTGTTATTCAAAAATCGTCTTATTCAAAAATCATGTTATTCAAAGTCGTGTCATCGACAAATGGATAACAGGATATTGTTGCTACTTGTGATTTTTAATGATTGGCAATCACTGAAGATAATTAGCTGTGAGTCCATAGCCCCTCTTATGGGATTTTATCGACACAGAATGTGGATCCTCCCATAGTCTTGCATAGCACAAATGTTTGACTAAGCTATCGATAATAAGTTTATTATCTTACCAGGATGAAAACCATGACAAAAATGAAAAAAATATAATCTTTATTTACAGACAGACATTGTTGACAGTGAATTTGCGATAGAGTGGATGAGAGACTTTGAATCATTTCAAGAAGCATTGGAGAGTGAAACATCGTACACATCAAATCTGACACGATCACTAAGTCTAGTCTTAGATGAATTCTACCAACATTTAAAAGTAAGATATTATTGTTATCAATTTAATTTGCTGTAGCAGCTGGTCTCTGTTGAATACAAAAATAAGTTGTGATCACAGGAACAATTTTGATCCTTGCATTTTTAGTCCCCGTTCGGACGTAGTCCGAAAACGGGTACTTATGTTTTGCCCTGTGTGCGTGCGTCCGTGATCACCTGTATCTCGAACATACATGGACCGATTAACTTCACTCATACATCACACATTATATGGGCACATTTTCACCATTCCGGACCCGGATCTCAGTTATGCATGGACGGATTTTGTTCAAATTTGGTACATACATTAAACATAATAGGTCCTTGATGCACGTCATTTTTTTTATTTCAGATCAAGTTCGAAATGGCCGACTGGCGGCCATTTTGTTACAGAATTCAGTTCTGGATTCGTATCCAAGACATGTCTGGATTGATCAAGTTCAAACTTCACACACACATGGTACATCATGTCACAAATAGATATGTGCATTTGTTTCATGATCTGCTTAACAATAGCTGAATGATGGCCATTTTAAGGCCGAAAATGCATCAAAATCACATATTTTCACAATTCCGGAACCGGATCTCAGTCATGCATGCATGGATGGATTTTGTTCAGATTTAGTACAATGTGTTGTACATATGCAGGTGCATTTCGGTCATGATCTGCTTTGAATGTATATGTCACTCAAATATGAACGGAACGGGGACGTGTCATTGACAATGACTTGTCATCTAATGTTCCACTGTTATCTAAACAATACATTGTGTATGTAGCTGTATGTTTCCGTATAAAACAGAACATGATATGAGGACTATAACAAATATTGCCGGTCTCAAATTTTGTCCATCAATATGTATTGGCCATCTCCCATTTTGACCATCAATATGCATTGACCATCTCACATTTTGACCATCTCAAGTTTTGATCATCAATACGTATTGATCATCCAAATTTTGACCATCAATATGTATTGACAATCTCACATTTTGACCATCAATATGCATTGACCATCTCACATTTTGACCATCTCAAGTTTTGATCATCAATACGTGTTGACCATCTCACATTTTGACCATCAATATGTATTGATCATCCAAATTTTGACCATCAATATGTATTGACCATCTCACATTTTGACCATCAATATGCATTGACCATCTCACATTTTGACCATCTCAAGTTTTGATCATCAATACGTGTTGACCATCTCACATTTTGACCATCAATATGTGTATTGATCATCAATACATACTGACCATAAATATGTATTGATCATCAATACGTATTGACCATCTTCCATTTTGACCATCAATATGTATTGATCATCAATACGTATTGACCATCTTCCATTTTGACCATCAATATGTATTGACCATCTCACATTTTGACCATCAATATGCATTGACCATCTCACATTTTGACCATCTCAAGTTTTGATCATCAATACGTGTTGACCATCTCACAGTTTGACCATCAATATGTATTGATCATCAATACATACTGACCATCAATATGTATTGATCATCAATACGTATTGACCATCTCCCATTTTGACCATCAATATGTATTGGTCATCAATACATACTGACCATCTTCCATTTTGACCATCAATATGTATTGACCATCCAAATTTTGACCATCAATATGTATTGACCATCTCACATTTTGACCATCAATATGTATTGACCATCTCACATTTTGACCATCAATATGTATTAACCATCAATATGTATTGATCATCAATACGTACTGACCATCAATATGTATTGATCATCAATACATATTGGCCATCTCACATATTGACCATCTCCCATTTTGACCATCAATTTGTATTGACCATCCAAATTTTGACCATCAATATGTATTGACCATCTCACATTTTGACCATCAATATGCATTGACTATCTCACATTTTGACCATCTCAAGTTTTGATCATCAATACGTGTTGACCATCTCACATTTTGACCATCAATATGCATTGACCATCTCACATTTTGACCATCTCAAGTTTTGATTATCAATACGTGTTGACCATCTCCCATTTTGACCATCATTATGTACTGACCATCAATATGTATTAACCATCAATATGTATTGATCATCAATACGTACTGACCATCAATATGTATTGATCATCAATACATATTGGCCATCTCACATATTGACCATCTCCCATTTTGACCATCAATATGTATTGACCATCTCATATTTTGACCATCGATATGTATTGATTATCAATATGTATTGACCATCCAAATTTTGACCATCAATACGTATGGACCATCTCACATTTTGACCATCAATATGTTATTGACCATCTCATATATTTGATATCTCACATTTTGACCGTCAATACATATTGAACTTTTCACATCTTGAGCATCAATACATATTGACCATCTCACATATTGACTGTCTCGCATATTGACCATCTCACATATTGACCAACTCACATATTGACTGTCTCGCATTTTGACCATCTCACATTTTGACTGTCTCGCATTTTGACTGTCTCGCATTTTGACCATCTCACATATTGACCAACTCACATATTGACTGTCTCGCATATTGACCATCTCACATATTGACCAACTCACATATTGACTGTCTCGCATTTTGACCATCTCACATATTGACCAACTCACATATTGACTGTCTCGCATATTGACCATCTCACATATTGACTGTCTCGCATTTTGACCATCTCACATTTTGACCATCTCACATATTGACCGTCTCCCTTCACGCATTGACCATAATCTTCTGCATTGCAGTGTGTTGGAGTCTCTGCTGTCACAGGAGATGGCATCAAAGAATTTCTTGACAAAATAGATGAAGCTGTTGAAGAATATGAAACGTAAGTGTTGTAGATATCACATTTATTGCCTGAAATTGTTGTGAATCATCTCAAGAAAAACAGGGAGAGAAATTCTATTTCTCTAACCAGAAATGCACCAGTGATATATACATTGGTCTGTAGAACAAATAAGCTTAGAAAGCATGTTTTGAATACGTGTACATTGTTTACAGTTACTGCCATATATGTGTTAATAGTGCCTGTGAAAGAAAGTTGTGCTCTTATAGAGGAGTTTAGTACATATGTATTGAAAGGTATTTGTAGGGATGTTTTTGCTTGTGTGCCACAGCTGGTATAACACTACACTGCATGCAATCTCTAATTTTATCTATCATGCGTTTATGTCATATCATGTCAAAGATCATGTCAGCCAGTTATGTCACAGTTCATGTCAGCCAGTTATGCCAAAGTTCATGTCAGCCAGTTATGTCAAAGTTCATGTCAACCAGTTATGCCAAAGTTCATGTCAGCCAGTTATGTCAAAGTTCATGTCAGTCAGTTATGCCAAAGTTCATGTCAGCCAGTTATGCCAAAGTTCATGTCAGCCAGTTATGCCAAAGTTCATGTCAGCCAGTTATGTCAAAGTTCATGTCATCCAGTCATGTCACAGTTCATGTTAGCCAGTTATGTCAAAGTTCATGTCAGCCAGTTATGCCAAAGTTCATGTCAGCCAGTTATGCCAAAGTTCATGTCAGCCAGTTATGCCAAAGTTCATGTCAGCCAGTTATGTCAAAGCTCGTGTCAGCCAGTTATGTCAAAGCTCGTGTCAGCCAGTTGTGTCAAGTTCGTGTCAGCCAGTTATGTCAAAGTTCATGTCAGCCAGTATGCCAAGCTCGTGTCAGCCAGTTATGTC